TCGCTCTTAGGTTGGAGGCCATCGCTCTTAGGTTGGAGGCCATCGCTCTCTGGTTGGAGTCCATCACCCTTAGGTTAGAGTCCACCGCTCTTTGGTTGGAGTCCATCGCCCTTAGGTCGGAGTCCATCGCTCTTAGGTCGGAGGCCATCGCTCTTAGGTTGGAGGCCATTTGCTCACATTCGGTTGTATGTGTTCTCAGTTCTTCTATTTATGCAGGGGATTGCCAGAATGGACGAAGGAACGGGAAAACATCAGGCAACATTATCCGACTGTGGAAGTCAGAAGGAAGCTTACACGACCAGCCTCCAAGGCGTCGGACTGGCGACCAGTCCGCCAGAAACCACCCACCTGTCAGGTCCCAAGGTCTCAAGGTAGGGCCAGGAGGGTGGTAATGATGTCTTTCTTTCGCAACTCTCAGGTACTTGGTCTCTGATGCCACCATCCATTTGGAACAAGACCTTTCTGCAGAGAACTCATCTCCACGATTTATGACCGTGCCCGCCTCCGACTTGCGGACGGCGCGGTTGAGGGAGGTGAACCACTCTGTGCAGCTGGTTCATCAAAGCAACGGAGATGCAGCAGCCCAGCCCTTTTGCTATATCCGCAGGACCGTATATCGTCAGTCTTTTTGGCCAAGACAGATGATCAACTTGTCCAACTATCTGACATTGTATGAGTGCTTGTTCATCAGGGCTTCCACTGTTCTCCCCCACTTGTCCAACTTGGTATTTTGATACTTCAAGTCTTGACTGTTGGTAAATTACATGTTGTTTATATAACTATAATACTATATGTTAAGTTTTACTGTATCACGAAAGCGATCTCCGAAGCAGGTCAGCTGAAGTTCTAGTTTACGATTAGATTGGTCAAAATCGAAGGGATCCGCTACAAACGGCCCCCCCCCCCCCCCCCCCCCCCGTGTGAGGAAAATAATTAAATAACCCCCCTCCCCCCCTTAACGAACTGAAGCGGTATTGATTAAGGGCCCCCCCCCGCCCCGCCCCCCCCAAGGGACACGACATCACAAACATAATCTCAGGGGATTATTTTAAAGGTGTTTTCACGATCGTCGTGTCGTCGTCATCGCTTTCGTTCCCCGCCTCTCAAGTCATATACAAAAAAAAATCCCTCCCGTTACCAGTAACAGTCAGTAAAATACTATCACTATTTTTGAGAAAGGCCTCCACTAACCATCATCATCCACTGTTACTGGCAATGGGATAGACCCAAAATAATATGATTGTTGACGGTTCCACATCTCCCCCCATGGGCTTGTCTAGTGAATGAACCGTCAACAATCGACTGGCTGAACGTGCACAGCATGGCCATGGAAATGCATGGTGCAGAACCCGATTTCGGAGGAGCATCCAACAGAGGTTGAAGAATCCGAACTAGACTATCCTAGTTGGGTATTGTAGGGTCCTAGTTCAGGTCACTTAACCTCTGTTGGATTGTCCGAATACCAAACAGGTGGTTGTCACTCCACGTAACCATGATGCTTTCAGGGAGTGACATGCGCGATTCCCATCTTTTTCCCAAATTTCTTCCCAGTTTGGCATCCTTCGGTGAGGATCGGCTCAAAGAGCATCACGAGCCTCAAAGATGTGGAGGAAGCGATGACCACTGTGAACCAACGCGGATGTTGGGCTCCCGGGTGCGATGCTCTTCAGGACATGGGCTTTATATGGTTTTACATACCATGCCCAGGGCATCCAGTTACCACTATATATAGCTGGTAACCAGTGGTTCCAAAGACTATAACCATAGACCTAGAATCCCTGGTTCCTTATATGGTGGTAACTGGGAGACTTCACAGGTCACCACCTGCCAGATTGAAGTCTCCATGACCTGTTGGAGGGTGCTGGCAGATCTTCGAACCATGCAAAATGCCTGCCCAACCAGTTTCCGAAGACCAAACAGGTGGTGGCGTTCCACGCAACGTGACACGGAGTGTATGCCACACATTAACCTCATTCCAACCAGCCCTTATGCAGATATGTAGGTTATGCATATGAGATCATATGCCATGCATGATTGGGCTAGGGCTGCCGGGCTTCCAGACTTCAGTGGAATCAGGACCTCTCCATGACCATCGAAGAAACGCCCTTTGGGATTCGGAATCAAGTTCCGGCCAGTGAGAAGGGCTGGGTCTATTTGGAACGCTTTGTGTCGCTTGGACGCATTGGATGTCGCAGCGACCTCAGTGAGTCAAGGGACTAGTCAAGGGCCTTCGGTGACGAGTCGGCCAGCCGATAGGAGGCTGGCTTTCGTCCCCTCCCTTCTCAGCTACCCAGACACGACCCATGGGACTGCCATATATGCCAATCAGTTGGGGTGGTTTGGGAGGTCAATGGGGCGGCATATATGGCAGTCCCATGGATTGAATGGGGTAGTGGTGGACATCCGAAATTCCATGGGCATTCCCCCAACGATTCGCCCTAGCTTCGGGGTCGGGGTGCCATTTGATTGATTGAATCGCCCGCTTAGCGGCAGGTGACCTGAATAAAAGAGCCTCCAGGAAAAGTACTTCTGGGACAGACCGTCGCAGGCCCGATTTATATAGGATTTTAGGTTTGATGTACAGAGGGTATCAGCCATCCAGGGCCACGGCGGGTCTGTGAGAGGCTGTGGGTCTTTTGACCCAGAGTCCAAAACCACAATAGATTGACCTCCTCTAGTAGTCCTTTCTGTTCATGTTCTTTGGTCAACCCAGGTAGCCGGGCTTTGACCCACACCCATGTTTTGGAAGGGGGGCCATTTGGCCAGAAACGCTCCGAAATCACAGGTCCATGGTGAAGATTGCGATGGTGCCGCCGGATCAAGCTTCGAAGATGGTCTTCTCTAACTCTGAGCGAGTCTTTTGGTGCACAAATCCAGAGCCTTTTGGTCTCTGGGAGACCTCACATGATTTTTGCTAGCTAGTAGACACGGCCAACACAAACTTTAATTAAGGAAATCATGTTGGGAAAATGATGTCACTGGCCGCGCAATCTAGATGTATGAAATGGCGGCCCAACCCCCCACCAAACTACTCACATCAACATATAATATATATAAT